CTGGACGTCTGTAAATGAACATATCCTAAATGTATGTAAAGTCATACTGTGAGGAAGCAATAGAGCAAAATCTTAGTAAATACAAGCGGAGAATTTCAATCGAGCAACATTATCTTACAATTTTAAGACCTCACTGAGAATCTGATGCACCTGTTGGGCACCACATCACATTATTGTTCTTGAATCAGTCTAGAGAAGATCCAACCAAATACGTTTTTCTGTTTGAAGAAATGACGTGGACTGGTATGATGAAAGAATTTCACCTTGTTTAGTTTTAAACAGGAAACACCCCAATCCTCACATACACCACAACAGATGAAATGCATTAAGTTATCTACTGTAAGTCAGCCCAATGGATTTCATCAGAATCAACAGTGAAACATGAGCCACAGAACATGAGTGGAAACTACTGGGAAGCGCGTTTAAAAACAAGAGCGGGAGGCACTTGTTTATACAAAGGGTTGTGGGAGTATGGAACGAGCCACCCAGCCGTGCTGTGGAACTCCTGTTTTCACCATGTAGAGCCCCCTCCTCTACCACACCAATTGCTTTGCACGGGTTCTTTTCTAACGCTTTTAATGTGGAAAATTACACACATCCGGCCTGTTTGGCAGTTAGCATCTAGCTGGCCTGAGGAACTCATCTAGCTGCTCCCTGAAGGACGTCAGGATATCGGCTTCGAAACCATGATCAGGACCAGGGTTATTGTTCTTCGGCTGTTTCCTGACAGTTTCATTCGACTTCCTCCAGAGTCAGAGGGCAGCGAGAGCCTATCCCAGCAAGCAACGGGAGCAAAGGCAGGCACCTTACCGGGCAGATGGACACAGACACATAATCACGCCTGGGTCCCTTCCCTCCAGAAGCTACTGCTAAGTCTCCAGACTGTGGGAGGAAACTGGAGAACCAGAGAGAAACCCAAGAAGACACAAACTCCACACAGGCAGCACCCAAGGAATGGTACCAGGGCCCCAGCACTACAAAGCAGCAATGCCAGCCACTGTGCCACCGTGCCCTCCAATTATAATTATTGTTGCTAACGTTACTATTATTCCTTTATTCATTTGACTAACGGGTTCCGATAAGCTGGGAGGATTCACGTAGGAGTGGTGTGAATGTATGAGTTGATGTCCGTCATGTAACATTTATTTTTAACGCAACACTGACATGCGCCATTTGAGTGTTTTTGTGCGTTTCTGTCTGAGTAACACGTAGCTGCTGAGATGCGTTTCTGAGAACTCAGCCGGAAAATTTAATAGAGTGTCTGTTGTTTTGTAATGCTATTGTCCAGACATATTTGCAGCCATAAATATATATACAGTAACTGAGCATTTTGCAGGCGCGTTCCGAGTAAGGCAGCTTGCTCAGGGGTGTACAGCCGAGATTTGAACCCGCAGCTCTTCCGTGTCAAGCCAATAATACCTTACCACTTTACCTCAATATTTAAAATATAAAAGGGCGAAAAGGGGTAAGCCGAGAACTTCTAACCACAGGGGTTTCGGGCCGTGCTAGCTATCGAATACAGAAATAGAACAATCAGGCCGAGCTTCTTGCAGAAAGGAAACTGCTAATTGAATACAAGGGCTTAGCTGTTTTCCAGTAATGCTGTTTTGATTTCAGCCGAGAGGAATGATGATAAATGCGCTCACGTCATGAAACCACCTTAAGTTCCATTCAGACTGCTTATCATCACTAAATCTAAGCAGTCAAGACACCAGTCTGTTTTGAAGCTTTATTGCTATCGCGCTATTTGCATGTGCTTGTGCAAAGACCACCCCTTGCTATCACTTTAAGGACTCCCCCCTCACTGGGGATGAGTGACTCATGGAGAAAAATCGTTTCGTGATGCTGAGGGGGTCTGAACAGCCCACTAATGTAACACTCTTAAAACAAAACTATAATAATAATAATAATAATAATAATAATAATAATAAAAAACTTTATTCGATATAGCACCTTTATGATGGCTTCTGAAAGCGCTTTACAGAATGACAACAACAATAAAAAGAATACACAAGATAAGACACAATTACAATACACAGAGGAGACCGTGGATGGTGGTACTAAGTACAGTAGGAGCAGAGGGGTGAAGAATGGAACCAGTTCAGTAAAGGCTCTTCTGAAGAAGAAGGTTTTGAGTCTGGATTTGAAGGAGTTTAGAGAAGATGACTCTCTGATATCCTTGGGCAGAGAGTTCCAGAGCTTGGGGGCATAACAGGAAAAGGCCCTGTCACCCGTACAATGTAGATGGGCTTGGGGGACAGTAAGGAGAGCAGAATTAGAAGAGCAAAGGTTGCGAGGTGGGGAGTAGGGCAATAATAGATCAGACAGGTACTGAGGTGCCAAGCCATGCAGAGCCATATAGGTGAGCATGAGGATTTTAAAGTCCACACGGAATTTGACAGGAAGCCAGTGCAAGGACTCCAGGACAGGAGTAATGTGATTCTGAGTGCTGAATTTTGGACATACTGCAATTTGTTCATAGTAGATTTAGATACCCCAGCGAGTAGAGCATTACAGAAGTCAATTCGAGAGAACACAAATGTGTTGATCAGCTTTTCAGCCAAAGTTGCCCTTTGCCCTTTTAATGCCCTTTGCCATAATGCCCTTTTAACCTGATAAACCAATTTAAAAACAAATTCTCATTGACAAGGGCTACCTGGAGAGAACCAAAGGCAATTAGTGAAGTAGTACAAAGTGAAGATACCATCTTCGTCAGTAAAGGTGAACTGAAAATGGGGAGGTAAAGTACTGAGTACAGGTGGAGTATTGAATGAGGTAGTGAGTACAGGTGGAGTATTGAGTGAGGTAGTGAGTACAGGTGGAGTATTGAATGAGGTAGTGAGTACAGGTGGAGTATTGAGTGAGGTAGTGAGTACAGGTGGAGTATTGAGTAAAGTAGTGAGTACAGGTGAAGTATTGAGTGACATAGTGAGTACTGGTGGAGTATTGAGTGAAGTACTGAGTACAGGTGGAGTATTGGGTGAGGAATCGAGTACAGGTGGAGTATCGAGTGAGGAATCGAGTACAGGTGGAGTATCGAGTTAAGTACTGAGTACAGGTGGAGTATTGAGTAAAGTAGTGAGTACAGGTGAAGTATTGAGTGACAGTGAGTACTGGTGGAGTCCTGAGCGAACTATGTCCTTCAAGTGTGAAACACCTGCATACAGGAGCACTACCTGACACACCAACGCAACCCCAACGCTCACAGTCTAAAGCAGGAACAGCATGTATCCTCCTATTCAGAGTGTCCAGTAGCAGACTAGACTCTAGTCACTAGAGAATTCCGGCTCCACACTCCCATGATCCCTTGCAAGTCACATGATGTCACGCTGGACAGAGGTATCTCTGACATCCCTAGAATTTACAGGTCATTCAAGTTAAACTAGTCTTTGCCTGAATGAGGCTTGAGATACACAACAAAGTACAGTATATAAAACACCACACGCATGCCGAATGCCTACACTGTGAATGCTCGCAGCTACATATCCTCATTGCCGAGTTCTGGATCGGCTGCCGGGCACCGCTTTCAACAAGCAAGATTTTCATTTTTTATTGCACAGTCAGTGTTTGTGTGCATGCCGACCGATATGACTCACGAGCACGTCTTTCCTTTGTTTAAGCGAGCCTGTATTTCATTTACCTCATAAGCAGTTTTCAGTGCCTACAATATGCAAATATTGCTGCAACCTTTCCCCCAAAAACTAACAGCTAGGCTTTGTGCTTAACTAGGGCAAGGCAGTCGTCTGGATCCTGATGTCTCTGCAGAACCCATGCAGGCCTGGGTAGAGACTCTTGTGTAAAGAGGAGGAAGATGCTGTGAGGTGCTAGAATGCAGTATGTCCAGGCTTCAGTTAATGAGTGCTCTGTATGAGTAAGCCAGGCCTCCTTCATTTTACACTCCATGAGAACATTGACCTCCCCCCAAAAAAAATGCTTCCGGAAAACGCTTTGGGAATCTTCTAGAATTTCCAAAGGGGTTCCATTCAGATGGTTTATGCATCCATCATACCGGACTCCCACCCCATCTCCGTTGACATTGAAACCGCTATCAATGAAAGCGCTCTTAGCATAGCAGCAGAAGAGAACCTATCGCAACAAGCAGTGCCGGGCTCAGATAAAACCCCAACGGCAGGACGGGAGTGAGCGTTTTCCACGGGCCACGGAGAGGAAGAAAATCGAAACGCACTCAAATATTAGGCACTCGTTTAAAGACGAGCGGAACAGTCACAACAGCCGGCGGCCCAAGTGAATTTGACTTCAAAGGGTTACATGAGTGACTGTGAGACTGTGAGTCAATACTCCTCTCATTGTGTAAAAGTATCGCCTCAAGATTGCCCGGCCACATTCTGTTCACCTCATTACTGGAAGAACTGCGGGCTCTTTTAGCTGACAGGCGACTAACTTTAAAGAATATATATATATTCTAATTCACCCAGGAAGTTTCATTGAACTTCAAGAGCTGCTTGTTGTTTTAATGCCGTGGTCGCCCGCCTGTGCGGGTCTCCGTTTCCAAATGCACCGTGCGTATCAACGTTAAAACTAAAATAAGACGACAATAAATACGAATGCTACATTTACAAATTCAAATTTTCAAAAGCATGTATGTGTCCTCTTGTACACGCGAGGCCTGCGTAAGCATTGCTTCGAAAAAAAGCAAAATTGTGTTTAACGCACACGGTGGTCCATGCCCAACAGGGTATTTCTGTGCGGTGCATGAAGACAGTGGTGAGAGATATTCCTTTAGACCCAGCAATGCACCTGGTGGCACACACGCAGACGCTAACTGTCAATCAGCTGATGCAGATTTTCTGTTGTGATCCTCGAGACTTCTGATAAACCCCTTGTTTCCGACTCGCGTCACACGCCCAGTCTGAGCGACATCAAAGCAGCCTCAGAAGTTCTCGGTTCACATGTGACGCATTTGGACACAGAAAGAGACGCCCACCTGCCAGGGACTCCCGTTCCTTAACGCGCCTCAGTTCAAAAGAGAAACTCCTCAATCCTCTTGAGATCAGACCTCGTACCTCCTTCGCGAGTGGCGCCTTGGGACCGAGATTAAACTGGCAAGAAAAGATAGGAGTCCAGTCTCCACCCGTGATATTAGTTCAACAAGAATTCAATCCGTTAAATTCAATTGAGCAGGTGGATTAAATCGCATTTGTTTTAAAATCACGTTAAATACTACAACTGTTGCTTTGGAGGTCAAACGGAGGATAAGATGCGACTGATTGCATTGGTTGTGTGGACAATCCTGTGGGCTTCTGGTGAGAAATATTTAATTTATGGTTTTAGCTATTGTAGCAGTAATAGCTATTTTTTGCAATAAAAAATGTATTGAAAACAAGACGGGACGTTATCAGTTCGGGATACCATTGACAGGAATCTAATTATCATTATGTAGAATTGTTTAGTCAATAAGTGAGTTATAACGCGATTTTGTGTTTTAATAGCCTAACGAAACCTTTTTCTGCAGGGTCTGGTGTCTTATCGTCCCCGACACCCAGGCTATTTTGTTTGTCTCAAATTCTGCCTAGAGCTCTGAAACTTCACTGTAGTCACTAGCATCACCTTCTCCCAGAGTGTCTGTACTGACGGCGTTTATTGAGGATCTGGTATCCTGCGGGTCTGCTTTCAGAACCACTCTTCTTACCGGCGCTGGTTACGGTGATGAGAAACTTCAGTCCAATTTAAACTTTTAAACTGCGGGTCCTCATTGACATGTATTTCACGAAAAGCGGCGATCCTGTCAGGAAAGACGACGGACTTTACGAAGAGTTTGATTGCATTAGTTTTAACTGAGATTATAATCCAGACCCCACCAACACTAATGCTAACAACAGGAGCTACTCCAGGTTCGACTGCGCTGATTGTACTGTGGCCCAGTCTACTGTACTACACTGTTAGTATTACAATTGAAATTACTGCATACTAAGTTCTGCATTGAGGAACAAAGACAGAGGAGTGACAGAAAATAACTTGTCGGCTGGACACTGTAGTAATGAGAAACTGTAAAATACATTGCACAGGTTTAGATTTGCATGGCTTTATAATTACTCTACTGCAGTAATGTATCCTAATCATCTCTATTAAAGCCTATGGCCAGACATCGCTGTGTATAGATTTTCAAACAAGTTGGGGAGCAGTTGTGGCGATTAGGAAGTGATGTTATGGCTAGTGCAAATAATAATAAACTATTTTATATAGCGCATTTAACGGTGGCTTCTCAAAGCGCTTTACAGAATGACAACTACCACACTCAAATCAAATACACGAGATATGCACGATGAGAATACACACTGAGAGGAGATAGTAGATGGAGTACAGGAGGTGTGGAAAAAATCTCTGAATGCCCATTGTCAGCGCGTGGAAAGCTGTAATTGACGCAAACCGAGCCGCATGCGCAGGCTGGAAGTGAAATTCAAGTGTTTCCCCATCCTCAGAAAGCGGATTCCGAGATTTTGTCCTCCCATTATGTCAAAAGGGAATGGGCGAGAATCCCCAGAGGTCCTGTTCTGTGTGCAGAGAAGCAGGGCCAGTTTCTCCTCTCTGGAGAGCACAGCCTAACTGCCAAAGACCGTGGGCCAATCCGTAGTGACAAGGTAGCGGACTGGAACGTATTGGATCGGACTGGGTCTGCATCACCAGTGACAATGCTCAGACTATACTGTAAGAGTAGAGTAGGTCATGTCAGTTTACAGCGCTTGGATCCTGGGTCCAAGTCTGGCCCAGTCTGTTTGGAGTTTGCACATTCTCCCAAAGGTTTCCTGGCCAGGCTCAGCCAGAGGTGAAAAGCCAGCCCTTACCCCCCTGTACTGTACTAAGAGAAATGATATCCCTACACAGTAGCAGCGAAACATTGTGTGAAGGTCATGTTGGATTTCAATGCATCACCATACTTTTGGGGTGGCATGGTGGTTAGCCCTACTGTCTTACAGTGTGGAGGCTCGGGCTTCAATTCCTGGGGTGCTGTCTGTGTGGAGTTTGCATGTTCTCCCCAGGTTCGTGTGGGTTTTCTCTGGGTTCTCCGCTTTCCTCCCACAGTCCAAAGACATGCTGGCAGGTTAATTTGGCGTCTGCAAAAACTGGCCCTGACGCGAGTGTGTGTGTGTGTGCCTGAGACGGACTGGCACCCCATTGACGGTGTACCCTGCCTTGGTTCCCATTGCTGGCCAGGATAGGCTCTGGCTCCCCAGGGGACCCTGAATTGAATAAAGCAGTAAAAAAAATGAAAAGTGGATAATAAGTGCTTGGATTCCATAACAGTTTCAAGGTATTAAACCCTCAGATTCTTTATAAGTGTAAGCAAAGCTTCCTTCATCACAACAGCTTCAGGGCAGACAGGGTAGATCAGTAGGTGTCAGCAGGTTAGGGGGACTCTTTGGTGCAGTCTTGGGCAGGGAGAAGACAGCGCAGTGCAGGTGTCACACAGCAGACGTGTTACCAGTTTGTTCAAACCACAGAGAAAAGATTAGATGAGTTCACTGTCACACGGGCATTGTTCTGTTGTTGTTAAACAGGCTGTTTAAAGAGAACATGCCAATGTCTTCATTTAAAATTAACCTTATGGTTATCTTATGGGGGGGTGGGGGAGCACTGACAGTCCCCAAGGTAATACAGTAATAATACAGTTAGAAGTTAATATAGCAATGTAATACAATAACACTGTAAGTAGGTAATATAGTGATATGATATATGTAATAATACTATATAAGTAGATAATAGAGTAATAGAACACATGTAATAATACTGTAAGGAGGTAGCACACGTAATAATATTGTAAGCAGGTAGTACATATAATAATACTGTTAGCAGGTAATATAGTAGTAACATACATGTGATAATACTGTAAGTAGGTAATACAGAACTAACACAGATAATAAAACTGTCTGCAAGTAATTTCCATATTTAAATGCAACATCCCATCAGGACAGAGCTTTCCACTAGGACAAGCGCATAGAGTGCACATGACCCACCTCCCCAGAGGTGATGGCAGCCCACCACTGCAAAGCTGGTCCCCATTTACTCTATATAGTCGAGTGGACTGGAGCAACTGGGGGCTATGTACCTCACTCCAGTTGCAAGAGCAGTTTCTGCAGCACAGATACAAACCCAACACTCAGGAGTCCAGAGACTTCCCCACCATGCTACACTGCCTCCTAATAATACAGTAACAGTATGAAATAAGTTACTTTCATCCCAGGATATACTGTATTAATCAAGACTGACAATGAGTTGGTGTGCTCTGTGCTTAATTATAATACACTGCACTGCTGTATAGTAGCAGCATATAAGGTTTAAGGGATCATAGTATAAGGGATTGTTTAAGGGATCTTAGTATTTTGCACTGAGTCAGTGTTTAGCAACACTATATATATGGTGCTGTGTGCAGCTCTGCAGTATTTTCACAAAATGGGCTACTTGCATATTGAAAGTGAATTCCCACATGCTATAACTTAAGATAATGCTTTCTATTAATCATATTTCTGTCTATGAACAGTGACCCAGGGTGAGATGATCGAAGTGTTTGCTGAACGCGGATCAACAGCAGTCCTGCCCTGTCTGTCTCATGCTCCTCTAAAGAATCCCCTCACCGTCCAATGGACTAAACGCAATAACATGTAAGTGTGTGACAGTATCTCTCCCTCTCTTTGAAATAAATCACAATCAGTATTCATCTGTGTTTATGCAGGGACATGCAACTGTCTTTCTCACTCAGTTAATGTACACTTGATGTCCTGTAGGATCTAATTACTGTGCTGTAGTGTCCAGTCAGTCAGTCAGTCAGTGTCTCTGTGCTGTAGTGTCCAGTCAGTCAGTCAGTGTCTCTGTGCTGTAGTGTCCAGTCAGTCAGTGTTACTACACTATGTCTATAAGTATATATTTTCTCTTTTAACATGACTGACCTCATCTCTTGTCAGGATGGAGAGCACTGTCTGGAGAATGGAACGAAGTGGGATGGAGTTTTGGGGTTCCCCTGGGCCACAGAGGTCTCAATGCCCACACTCTGGGTTCCAGGATGGAGATTTCAGGCTGATAATACAGGAAGTGAGAGAGTCGGATGCAGGAGAGTACAAGTGCACAGCGAGAGGAAGCAGAGGGATCGTGCAGAAGACCGTAATTTTGAGAATCATCATAGGTACTGGCACAGCACTCCTAAGAGCTAGTGTACTGTAGTGTCCAGTCAGTCAGTGTCAACGTGCTGTATGTCCAGTCAGTGTCAATGTGCATTAACTATTCTTCTCCTCTGCTCCCTGCCCACTGTCTCTCTCAGTCTTGGTCTCTCAGTCTCTCCCACTTGAGGGATCTACAGTGTCTCTGAACTGCAGCATTCAGCCCCAGCCACAGAAGGCAACAGTGAGCTGGCTCAACAACGGTACAGTCGTGGGGAACTCCCCAAAGACAGAAGTCACAAAGAAAGGGTGGACATTAACAGTCAAGCGCTTGACCCTGGCAGACGCAACTGATTGGTCATGTGTCGTCCATACCGCGAGACAGACAGGAAGAGGCACACAGAGACTGACAGTACGAGGTATGTAATTATTACCGATGTTATGCATTTGATACAATACTCCACAATGTTTGGTAATTAAAGTGTTACACTGCCCTCTGGTGGAGAGATCTTAATTTTGTGAGAATTCAAGTCGCGCAGGCCATAGATATTACATAGTCCCCCAGCTAGCCTTGTGCCATTCTCGGGGGATGAACAGGATTATCCCCTCTTGCAGGAATCGCTTCTCCAGCCAGTGATGGTACCATGTACGGGGCGGTGGGCTCCAGCCTGACTCTGCCCTGCCTGTTCAGTGAAGGCCTCATCCCACAGCAGAAGGGCTGGGAGAGGGAGACCAGGGGCGCTGTGCCTCAATCCATCACCCCCTCCCCCCCTTCCCCCTCCTCCTCGCCCTCCCTGGACGCGTCGCTGCGCCTGTCCGCCGTGGAGGAGAGGGACGGGGGGGTGTACACCTGCTTCGGCCTAGTGGAGGACAGGAGGATCGAGAGGAGGCTGAGACTGGTCACGGCAAAAGGTAAGGGGGAGGGAGAGGAGGAGACCGGGGTTGAGGAAGGACTGGAGACAGAGAGGGGAGGGAGGATAAGGGAGCAGGGCGCGAGAGGAAGACACAGTGAGGGGATAGGAGCAGGGGAGAGACTGAGGAGGAGGAGGGGTGACGGTGTGTCCACCTGATTGTCCACCATGACGTTAGACCACATCCGCACAGTACTGATGGAAAGAGAAAGAAAAAGGGGAAAGAAAACAAGAGTTACGACCTGGACCGCGACACAGAGAGAAGAAGGTAGACGCAGAGAGAGAAAGAGACAAGACTGGATAGAAAAGACAGGGTGACTACAAACACCAGTCGGTATCAATTTAACAGCCTCTCCCCTCCCCCCGCAGTTGGAGTAACAGCCCCACCCAAAGCTGGACAGCCCTTGACCCTGACCTGCGACCTCAGCGACGCAACGGGAGTGGACCGGTACGAGTGGTTCAGGGTGACCTCTGACGCCAATGGCACAGAGGTCACGACCCCTCTGGGCACGAGTTCGGAGAAGAGCTTCCGGCTCGCGGGAGGGAGCGGGGAGCTCTCTGGGGAGCTTGTCTGTCAGTTCCACGGGAAAGAAGGAGCGCTGGGAAACGTTAGCTACCACTTCCACACTTTGGGTACGTTGGAATTTCTTGCTGCTTTTAATAGCATTAAGCCCCCATTAGGAATTACGCCATTATGTAATGAAACTTTGTTGAGCATGTGGTTTTATAGTCATAATTAGGAGCAGTGTGTAAATTCGGCGGGAACTAGGGGTTCTCTTTATTAACAGAAGGGGAAAAAAAAGAGAGGCACAGTCATCTTTGAAAATATTTCCACTTCTCTACAATATTGACAAAGATTGCCCTAAAATAAAATTAACTTTCCAACTGCTCCAGTAGCCAAAAAGCAACAAAAAAAAAAACTCTTCCCTAGAAATGCCACTATCTAGGACGTCGATTGACATGCTACACTTTAAACTATTGAAGTGCTAAACCACCTGACTGATGGAGCGAGCCGAGCGACCATCACTTCAATACTTCTAGTTTGTAGAACAGCTGCCAGACAGCGTCCGATTATTGATTTGGAGCACCTAGAGTCGATCGCATGCGTGTTGGTTCGGCTCGTTCTGTCGTTAGTCACTAGTGTTTCCCTCCTTCGTCGGCCCTAAAAATGTCGTCGGCCCTCGGCAAAGTGCCTGCAGTGCCTCATGAAAAATCCGGCACTGTCTGCAACGTTTTGAGAACATGTTTGCTGAGCTGCCCTGACATGTCATTTCCCCCCCTCGTAGTGCTTTAAAGCATGCTGGGATTTTTGTCCAGATGCTGGTCACAGCCACTGGAGGAAGTCCCAGACAGGAAGCCATGTCTACCATTTCAATTCACCAGATCCAGAACCATTGCCTACTTATTTCACATTAAGAGCAATCCTCTTATCACAGTGAACCAATGTCAGAGTGATTAAACAGCGCCCCATCTTTCTGTGCTAGGAACTGCAGTTTGAAGTTCTAATGCAATCTGCCGTTACCAGAAAGTCATTTGTTCCGAGTCATAGAAAACCCAGAGCTTATCCCAGAATCACGGGTCTCAGAATGGGACTAGACACCCTCGACAGAATATCAGCACAGTCAAAATAAATAAGTTCCTTTTTCTTGTTAAATGTTTCTATTTCAATTTTAGTCACTAGAAGGGTGGATTTCTTAAGCAGAGGTGCCCCCCCGCTTAAATTAAGGTTTTAGGGAAACGGAACGCAAACTTGCAATTCTACACTGATGCACTGAAGCAACTGATGCCCGAGACCTACAGTTTTGTGCCATAAAACTCAGTAGGAGTTTTCACCTTTGTCGTCTCTGCACAGGTCGCCTGGAGGCCACCACGAAAGGTGGGTCTTCGAGTCAAGTTGCCATAATAACCACCTTCAGTTTCCTGGTCCTGGTGCTAATCTTAATTCTGCTCCAGATGTACAAAAACCACCGGAGAGTGAGTTCCACGTTGTTACTGGCTCCCTGTCAGCTTGGTTCAAACTGTGTCTCTTTGCACACCGGAGTGCATCTCTGTGACTATTGCCATTCGATTTTCTTTGAATCTATTAGCTTGTTTTTTTTTCTGTTGGCTCTTTATTTATCAGCCCCTTTCTGCATACGTCTAATGCACTGCGGCTTGAATGTACTTTGGTATCCAGTTAGAATGTCGGTCCTCTCCACTCTCAGCCCTCAATTTCCTGTCCTGTCTCTCTCAAAGCAGTTTTTTGTACAGCAATGTCACTAATAGTGGAACTAATGTAAGCAATGCTAATGTACTGTAGTGTCCAGTTAATACTTATTTCTTAACCTCTGTTTAAATGTACAGCAGTCTTCAGTAAGACAGTATATCAGAATTAACCCTTATGTGCATCTCTGTCAGTACACTATCATCCGGTAACTCTGTACTAAACCATCTCTCTCTCTCTGCAGCGGAAGATGATATTACCATACCCAGCCCTAGAGACAGTTATTCACTCCTCCTCTCGCGCCCAAGAGAGGACAGAGAGGAAGAAAACAACTGATCCAGAACCAACGACTAACTAGTGCATCTGCAGAACCCCATACCAATGTTCAGACAAAGCCTAGAGCAAGACTGCTTGGCATTTCAGTTGGCTGATCTCTGGTCCAGGGTCTTTAGTGGCAATGAAGCTGAAAACTTTGATAGATATATATATATATATTTTTTTTTACGTGACTTTATATAGAATTCCAAATATATAAACACAGGTTTTTTTTAACTCTAAATAATTGTTTTGGGTTTGAAAACCAAAAAAAAAAAACTGTACATAAATGTTCATGTATTAATCTATCAGCTATTTCAGAAGTATTATTAAGTCTGTGTTTCAGTAAGGGTGCCTCAATGTGTCTCTCTGAGAGAGTCTGTGAGTGTGTGTGGGTGTGTGTCAGGATATGACTGCGTTCCGAGTGTCAGCCTGTACATCAGGTGTGTGTTTGTCAGGGCGTGTGCGCGGACGTCGGTTTGAGTGAGTTAATTTTCCTATCCTAGGTCACGTCATGCAGTAGCATCCCTGTGTAACTGAAGTTGCATGGTTCTGAAGGTTTGAAATGTATAGATTCTCGTCTCAGTTTTCTTTGTACATAAACGTATGAGTGAGGTGTTACCACATTCCTTTTAATTAAAATAAGTCAGAAAAAAAAATCATCCACCTTTGCATCTTTTCTCGGCAACGATTTTCAATCAGTTCTGGTTCACAACACCGAAAAGCAGAACAGAGCTCCAGTGCAGATGGTTCAATAGGGTCACCATTACATTTCCAGTTTACAAAGGCCTGGAACAATTTCATTGAGATCATTGTCGGTTCTTCTTTTTCAGTTTTTAAGAATTACTCCCCTGTTTTCCCTGTAACTTGTGTATTTTCAAGCGTTAGGAAAACAAGGAAGAACCTGGGTGGCCAAAATGTGAATAATTTAATTTCTATATCATTACAAAACATCCGCCTACCCCAAAATCGTAGTATTGTGAACAGAAAAAACTTCTTAGAAATACTTCCGTCACAAAATCCATCTTCAAAAGCTGTATGTGCTATTATTAGCAAATTTAGCAGGTGTTTTGTTAATTTGGGAACTTGAGTTTCTCCAGGACCAGAGCTCGAGACCCCAGCTGTAAATGGTTTTCTAATTTCACCAACATGCACTAAGTCAAAGTTAGCAGCCACAGATAGCCGTTTCTCCCTCACCCCTCATCAGAATGGCACAGCTCCAACTTGACCAGGGAAAGACGCTAGAAGACGGTAGATGACATTGAGCCCTGACGGTTTCACACGGAGAAGCAGAATCTGATTGGGCCTCTAATTCTGCTGTGAAGATACACTCAGCCGCTGTGGTTGATCTTAAAAACCCAGCTGATGAGTTCCAAAAAGAGGGAAAACAGCTATCCACAGCTGCTAACATGGACTTCTTCATCCTAATTATTCACATCCATCATTGCCTCTCTACACAAGACGTGAACGTGATGGGCTTTTTTGAAAGGCGGTCTTATGTACAGTATGTTTCTGCATCTTGACTCATTGCTGCATGTACTAAGAAGCATTCCCCTAAACACATTGGCAGTGATGCAAAATGACTGCCATGTTTCACCCTTTAAAGGTGAATGAAGTGGTTCCCCTCCAACAGTAAAAGAGCTTTGGATTCCTTGAAGGAACTGCTCATTATTATGCACTGGCTTCCTGTCAAATTCCATGTGGACTTTAAAATCCTCATGCTCACCTATTAGGCTCTGCATGGCTTGGCACCACAGTACCTGTCTGATCTATTATCGCCCTACTCCCTACCTCGCAACCTTCGCTCTTCTAACTCTGGTCTCCTTACTGTCCCCCCAAGCCCGTCTACATTGTATGGGTGACAGGGCCTTGTATGGGTCACTCAGGACTCCACCTGTACTCGATTCCTCACTCAATACTCCACCTGTACTCGATTCCTCACTCAATACTCCACCTGTACTCCGTACTTTACCTCCCCATTTTCAGTTCACCTTTACCGATGAAGATGGTATCTTCACTTTGTACTACTTCACTAATTGCCTTTGGTTCTCTCCAGGTAGCCCTTGTCAATGAGAATTTGTTTTTACATTGGTTTATCAGGTTAAAAGGGCATTATGGCAAAGGGCATTAAAAGGGCAAAGGGCAACTTTGGCTGAAAAGCTGATCAACACATTTGTGTTCTCTCGAATTGACTTCTGTAATGCTCTACTCGCTGGGGTATCTAAATCTACTATGAACAAATTGCAGTATGTCCAAAATTCAGCACAGAATCACATTACTCCTGTCCTGGAGTCCTTGCACTGGCTTCCTATCAAATTCCGTGTGGACTTTAAAATCCTCATGCTCACCTATAAGGCTTTACATGGCTTGGCACCTCAGTACCTGTCTGAACTATTATCGCCCTACTCCCCACCTCGCAACCTTTGCTCTTCTAATTCTGCTCTCCTTACTGTCCCCCAAGCCCGTCTACATTGTACGGGTGACAGGGCCTTCTCCTGTTATGCCCCCAAGCTCTGGAACTCTCTGCCCAAGGATATCAGAGAGTCATCTTCTCTAAACTCCTTCAAATCCAGACTCAAAACCCTCTTCTTCAGAAGAGCCTTTACTGAACTGGTTCCATTCTTCACCCCTCTGCTCCTACTGTACTTAGTACCACCATCCACGGTCTCCTCTGTGTATTGTAATTGTGTCTTATCTTGTGTATTCTTTTTATTGTCATTCTGTAAAGCACTTTGAGAAGCCACCTTTAAAGGTGCTTTATAAAAAAGTTTATTATTATTATTAAGAACCCAGTTTTGGCAGAGCTATAAACACAAAAACCTTTAGCACTTAAGCTGCGGACTGAGATGAGTATAAGTCGATTGAGTTATTTGGGTCCGTTACACAAGATTGCTCACAGGGCCAAAAAAAGAGAAGTGGAAAAAAACAGAAATATACACAGGACACCACTGTGCTTCCTTAATACTCTCGCACTTGCTGCCTTTCTGCTTAACTCTGGGGAGGCAGTGTCAGTGCGTGTTAAACCGATAGACTGAGTCAGCCAAAGCATCAGTCAACAAACCACTTGTTTTCATCAGCTTCTCAATCAGTTAGAGCATTTAGTCAGCCAGCTTTCCACATCAATGTCTGAAGAAGTCTGCTATTCCACTGTGAAGTTCTATAGAAACTACGCTCCTAAAATAACTGGTGAGTTACTCAATGTGCTGTCATATCCAGTCACTCTGTAGTGTCCAGTCAGTCGGTGTCACTGTGCTCTAGTGTCCAGTCAGTCGGTGTCACCGTGCTCTAGTGTCCAGTCAGTCGGTGTCACTGTCACTGTGCTGTAGCGTCCCGTCAGTCAGTCACTGTCACTGTCCTGTAGCGTCCAGTCAATCACTGTCACTGTGCTCTAGTGTCCGGTCAGTCGGTGTCACTGTCACTGTCCTCTAGTGTTCAGTCAGTCAGTGTCACTGTGCTGTAGTCTCCAGTCAGTTTCTGCACTGCACTGTCCAGTGAGTTAATGCTGATGTGCTGTACTGTATAGGTAGTTTAAAATATATACAGTATGTAGCAGCATGGTGCTTTATTATTTATAAATGTTAAGTTTACATAATTCCAATATGGCTTGGAACTTTAAGGTCATAATTCCAATGTCATCTCAAGAGTATACCTTTAGAAAACCATATATCAATGGAAAAATAAAACCACTGTGCAAGAGGCGTTGTTTTCTGTTCATGCAAGATTAATTTTCCACTTTAGAGTTCCAATTCTGGCCGGCAACCTGTTGAAAGAGTGGCAAACAACAGCACAGGTGTGTTTCTGAAATGGCTGGTAGGAACAGGCCACGCACGCCAGAGCCACATATCTGAACCTCAGAAAACCCAGAATAAAGAGATCACTATGGGGAAAAAAAAAACCAAGAAGGAGAAAATTGTTTTGTAAAGGAGGTTGCCGACAGAGGTGTGTCACAAAAAAAAGAGAAGTTGAAAATCTGTTATACCTTAGGAATGGGGCGTTTTTGCAGCTGTGTGCACTTCTTGCTGCCCTCTAGGGCTGAAACCCGAGAACTGCATGATTTTTATTCAGGATAAAGTCTTCCTGCTTTTATAAAGCATTCTTCATCCTCTTGACATTACTTTCAAAGGGAAACTGCAGTCCCAATTTCTCAGACTGGCTAGCAAATCTATATAACAAATTCACTGATGATATAGAAAAAAAACTGAATTAAGCACAAAATCATGAAGTTTGTAAAAGTACTGTAATAATAACAATAATAATAATAATAATAATTGCTTACACTTATATAGTGCTTTTCTGCACACTCCACTCAAAGCGCTTTACAGGTAATGGGGAATCCCACTGTCACCACCAATGTGCAGCCCCACCTGGATGATGCAACGGCAGCTATAGTGCTCCAGAACGCTCACCACACATCAACTATCAGTGGGGAGGAGAACAGAATAATGAAGCCAGTTCATAGATGGGGATTATTAGGAGGCCATGATTGGTAAGGGCCAATGGGAAATTTGCCCAGGACGCTGGGGTTACACCCCTACTCTTTTCGAGAAGCCCCCTGGGATTTTTAATGACCACAGAGAGTCAGGACCTCGGTTTGCGTCTCACCCGAAGGACTGTAAGTCGCCATGTTGCAAATCTCTGGTCTCGCCAGCGTCTTGTAACAGAGCTACTGGGTTCCATTTATCGGCAAACCCTCTCAAAGTCAAGAGCAATATTTCTATTGAAGTGTAAGTGATGGATTCACATGCCTGCTTGTTTACAGTGTAAAAGAGCTGCTTTACCTCACCAGATTTTTTGTTGCCATGTTCCGAATTGCAGAACATGGCGCTGTGCAGACCTGGAAAGTTCATCTATCTTGTGATGTAAATTCGAGGTTTTCCAAGTTACTGTGTGCATTTTACTTTCGTTGTGTGTTGCAGTTCCTCTTTAAAAGAACTTGGAGATACTTCTCGAAGTGAAAATCACAAACATTTGGACCTGAAGACATAAAGTTAACTGGTCCTACATTCTTGCCTGGATCATTTTCATCTGATTCTTAAAACTGATATTGGATTCACATCTCACTCCTTCTGACAATAATATAGCTCTGTATGAATGTTAAAGAATAAAAAGTATCTTGTGTAATATCTATCTTCCAGTTATCTTGATCATTACAAATTATTGATTTCTGATGTGACCTGTCCAACTTAAAGTGTAATCCTTATTTCTATTGATTGTAATAGAAACTGCACATTGGATGGTTTGTTTAATCATTAGGCAGTGCAAATGATGACCATAATTTTAAGACAATGGAAATAGCCAATTTGGAACAAAAATTATTGTAACTGATGGGTTGATTCAAGTGAAACTGGATAAGATTTCAAGATTTCCATTTGAGGCAGCAGTGGTTAATCTTGCTGCCTTACAGTGCCGAGCCTTGGGCTCAATTTCCAAGGTGCTATCTGCATTGAGTTTGCATGTTCTCCTTGGGTTCATGTGGTTTTCCAGGTGCTTCAGTTTCCTCCCATCGTACAAAGGCTTTATGGTAGGTTAACTGGCTTCTGGGAAAACTAGTCCTGGTGTGTGTCTGTGTGACTGCCTTGAAACACACTGTCCAGGGTGGTTTCTGCCTTGCTCCTATTCCTTGCCAGAAGAGGTTCTGGGACACTGTGGCCCAGAATTGGATATGCAGATATTGATGGATATCGCACGTACTGACAAGTGCATTGATCCTACCAAGATCAAAACCTGCCTGTCTTTTGTAAATAATAATCCTGGGGGTTCCTTAAGGCAGCCCTGCATTGCTGACTTAGAGAGAAAGACAGGAGAACACATCTGGCCTCACAGCTACACAGAATATTGTTGCTTGTTACCTTTTCAAATTGCTTTCAGAAAACAGAAAGCAATCTAACAATACAAGGTTACAGCACATACACATTGTCATGTCCAGTCAGTTCTTCCTCTGTCTGTATTGTACTGTCCAATCCATCCACTTTCTCTGGATAAGCAGTGCCTGGATATTAATATGAAGTTGGCTCTACCTCCTTCTGCTTGCCTCTTCTTCTTTCTATTGTGCTGTAGTGCTCAGTGTCTGTAAAGGACCTTCTTATGCTTTTTTTCAGGGAGACAGGATGAGGTGGTCTATGCTGAGGTCAAGAGAGCAGGATCTCAAACATCACAGACAGCACCCCCTGCTGGTCCAGTAGGTCAGTCACACTCTTCTCTTTCATCAGACCATGAGCTAGAAGTGGCTCCTTTGTCAGACTGACAGAACTGTGAGATGTGATTCTGTTACAATATGGCTGAACATTAATACTGTGTCAATGATGTGTCATAAATGTGAGCTACAACTCCCTTACTGCTCCACATATATCTGTCCGCGCAGTTCTGCTCAGAGCCTGTGCAGAAAGAGGAGGTATTCTCTTAGGATGTTATCTGAGCCGCCCATATGAATCTGTGATGCATCATGTTCTATCAGGCTTCTTTTTGTTTCACTTTGGCAGGTCATAGTGTAACAGTGCGTGTGCTCTGTTTGTGTCCTCTAGTTTCTGTGTCCACAGTGAGCGCTGTGCCTAAACATCCTCCTTGCAGACTGGTTGCAGTGTGTCTGGGGCTGTCGTGCGTGGTCTTACTGACCATCATCATAGCCCTGAGTGTCCACTGTGAGTATGACACAATGTGTGCATTTCACTGAAGATTATTGCGATTATAGCGGTGAGGGATATTCATGAATGTGAGGATCTTTTCAGTAAAAATACCACTAATGAGGATATTATTTTTACCGGAGACCAGTGGGAAACTGTTCCACTACAGGGCTGTGTTACACCCATAGATTGAGGCCTGAGGCCCCTGAAAGGTCTGGTAGTTGGGGACAGGGGTCACCCGCCACGGCGATATCACAGTTCCAGGCATCACTGCAGGGTGGATGGTAATCTATTGCAATCTGAGAAGACTGAAGTCCACACTGCACCATTAGTGCTTGGCCAATTGTGAACTCCTGGTGAACGAACTCTGTTTGGGGATGGTTAATGACCTAACACAAGCTGGAACTGTTGATGTCCCAACATGAGGCTCAGCCCTGAGATCTCTGCGGCTCCTTTATGGGTTGAACCATTTGGTAGTCAGATTAAGCTCCTATTTGTAACCAAGTGTAAGTCAAACACTCTACTTTTGGCAGAAGTGCAAGGATTTACAGCCCTATCCAAGTTAGTCTTTAAGATTACCTGTTACTAATTATTATAAACACCCAAAAAATAATGATCAATTGGGCAAGTAAGCTCTAATCCTTGAAGGCTGAAGGTGACTCAGAATTTCTAAATTATCCCAAAATGTATAAATAATTAAAACATCTCCTGTTGTATTGATCATAATAGAATTATTCCAACCGTTTGGAATCTGGGGATTTAATGGTGACTTATGAAACGTGATGGATTGGGTCTCTCCAGGATAAGGGAAAGAAAGGAGACTCCTGCTGTAGTCTGACTGTTTTTTTGAGAGCCTAGAGGGTAGAACATATATTTTCTTACAGATGAAGGAGTTATTCGGAGCATCAGTGAAAAATACAACAGCATGTCACAGAGTATTCCTAAGCAGAAGGATGAACTGGATGAACTCCGAGTGAACTACAGCACCCTGGCTGCATCCAATCACAAATTAGAAGCAGACTACCGCACCCTGTCCACGGCCAATCAGAGGTTAAAGGCTGAACACCATACCCTGTCTGAAGCCAATAAGAAGTTACAGACAGACTACTTCACCCTGACTATGGACAAAGAGATGTTAGAGAGCGAGACACAAGACCTTCACAGGCAGGAAAATGTACTTCAGAGACAGAAAGAAGACCTAGAGAAAGAGATGGGCACATGCCAATTGGAAAAAGACGACCTGCAGCACAAAAAGCAGAAGTTAGAAGATGAGATCCAGAAAAAAGCAAGGGAGTTTGCAGATGCCCTCAATGAACTATCAGAGAAATGTGAAATTGTGGATCAATACTGTCCCACTGCAAACCAACCTCTACAGGGTGAGTGTCTTTAGTTTTCTGTTTAGTTCACATGGTAAAGCTGCAATCCAACCCACCACATAAAACAAGCTCACAGAGGGGATAAACAGTCCATTGTTCAGCAACTGAAAATTAGCTGGAGGTCAGCAGTCTCACACAGAACCAGTTCACTCTCTTAACACCCTTTTTGAAAGACCAAAGTTTGGCACCCATCCTTCTTCCACAGTAGAAGGAGGCCAAGGCCAGTTGACAAAGATGCATGTAGCTTTTCAAGTAACTCTTAATATCTTTGCTAGGACAGCTGGACAAGGACGTTTTGCAGCTCTAACATAACCTGGAAAATGTATGCATTTAAAAACTTCCAATATCTGGAAAAGGGTGACAAAGTCCACCCACTTTTCATGGAATGTGGTTTAACAGCCAGCTGACTAAGATCAGAAATGTTGCAGGTAACAGTGTCTGTCAGCTGTAATACTGGTCTCACTCATATTGCCCACTGTTTGCATAGATCTCTGGTCCAGACCCAGACAAGTGGGCTACACTTCTACTGTTTAAAGCTTTCAAAGAGCTAGAATATTAGTGCCACTTTATACACATCCCATACATGCAATTGAACAATTCATCACGTTAACTGCATTCCAATAGTTATCTGAAAATGGGGAAAGGGGCTAACAAAACATTGGGATAAGGTGTTAGAAGTGTCGAAGTGACATTGTGATAAGCTCTGCAAAGATTACATGTACCACTAATCCGATGTAAAGAAAATATTTTGGAATGTCATTGCAGAAAAAGAGTTCAGAGCTAAGCATCTGTTCTGCATGTGTCATGCAGCTTGAGAAACCAATCTTCAATCTTAAACAGGGAAGACCTCGATGATGTAGGTCTGAAGCAACTGACAAAATTAATCCAAGACACCACTTCAGTCTTAACAGCGAAAAAAATTCCTATGCTCCCAAGTGGAAATGAAAGTAAATTTAGTACCGTGAACAGGAGGCATGTCCCTAAACAGGTGGCGATAGGTACAGTAGGTGGAACAAATTGCTCAGCCATCACATTGTAGAAATTCTATAAGAAATGTCGGGGTAATTCCCTCCAGTAATTAAGCTACTAGCAAACAAATAAGCTAGATGATTTAAATTTGACTCTCGTGTGTCCTCAAGCTTCCTGTTAAAATGAACTAAACTGAACGTGTGATTGTAAAGAACAAGACAAGTCTGAATCCTTTGCTTCTGATCCTGAGCTATTGTGGAACCCGAACCTAACTGGGGACAGCTGCACTGTGAAGACACGGAGCAAGGAGGGCGCACCGTGTGAAACAGAGAGCTGCACCGACATGAACTGTTTCCTTTGTCTGTTTCTATCTTACAGAGCGACTCTGTCAATACTGTCCTCAGGGCTGGGAGCTCTTTAACTCCAAGTGTTACTACTTCTCTACTGATAAACTGAGCTGGACTGACAGTCGAAAAAGCTGTAAGACGCAGGGGGCCAACCTGCTAATGATAGACAGCAGAGAGGAACAGGTATGAAAGTTGTGGTAGAGAACGAGGTAAATAATGTAGGAAGACAGGAGCAGTAGAGTTGAAGACACCACGATGGGTGGAGGGAGTGAGAGCTGAGGTGTCTATACCTGGTCCTGAGCTGATGGAGATTAGGACCAGAGAGGGCGGATCTGAAGCAAAATCAGCCAAGGAGACTCATCCCACTTGGAACTCATCAGCTAGGGTGCCAGAAATGATGAGGCAGAAAGGAAACAGAAAAGGGAAAGCCAAGGCCAGAAAAGGAAGCTGTCCTGCTTAATATATGTCAATGTCAACGTTGCAGATGTGTAACACTGGGCTTCTTGTGTGCAGGAGTTTTTCACAAACCACCCTAAAAAAGGTTACTACTGGATTGGACTGAGTGATTCTGACAAAGAGAACTACTGGACCTGGGTGGACAACACTGTATTGATTACAGGGTAAGAGCTGTGAAAGAGTGCAGTACTGACCTACACACTGTATATACTCACACACTGACCACACAGTTACAGAGTGAGAGAGCAGTCCAGTACTGACCTACACCCTGACTGAACACACTGTATATAC